TTTATTGGCTGATTTGTGTGATGTTTTAAGATGTTTTTACTGTTTTACTGCTTTAATTGTATTCTTATTTTTTTTGTAAGCATCGTTGATGCCTATGTGAGGCCGCCCTGAGTCCCTCATGTGGGGAGAAGGGCGGGATAGAAGTGTAAGAAATAAATAAAAGATATTGGTTCATTGCTTCATTGGTTTGTTGCTGTCTCTTGACTTTACCAACCTCAAAAGGGCTAAAATCGGTGGCATGTGGTAGTTTAGCCCAGGCCACCCACAGAGCCTGGTCCCATCAAACGATGCTGGCGGGGCTCTGTGGGTAAAGTAGGGTGGAGCTGGCACATGCTGCCACCACAGCAACATGGAAGGCTTCCTGTGTTGCCATAGGAAGCCATGGGGGGAAGTCACGTGGTTGATGCTTACCCCAATGGGATCAAGAAGTGAGGCGATGTGGGGCATGGGGCACCAGGTTCCTCACACCCCCTGACAACGCGAGATGACATAGGACAAGTCCGGTGGCCATGTGACAAGGTTGTTAGTCATTTTTGACACATAGTGACCCTATCACAGGATTTTCTTGGCAAGATGTATTCACAGGGGGGGTTGCCATTGTCCTCCACTGAAGCTGAGAAAGTGTGAGTCATCTAAGGTCACCACAACTTAGTGGGGAATCAATACCTATTTGACAGAGTGTTATTCCAATGCATAAACTACTACATCATGGTGGCTTTTCCATTGTCTTTAAAGGTAAAGGTAAACTAAGGTTTTCCCCGGACATTAAGTGCAGTCATGTCAGACTCTGGGGGTTGGTGCTCATCTTCATTTCTAAGCCAAAGAGCCGATGGTGTCCATAGATACCTCCAAGGTCATGTGGCCAGCATGACTGCATGGAGTGCCGTTACCTTCCCGCCAGAGCAGTACCTATTGATATACTCACATTTGCATGTTTTCGAATTGCTAGGTTGGCAGAAGCTGGCGCTGAGAGTGGGAGCTCATGCCGCTCATCGGATTTGAACCTAGGACCTTTCGGTCAATAAGTTCAACAGCTCAGTGCTTTAACCCACTGCGCCACCGGGGCTCCATTGTCTTTACCCTCTGTTAATGCCAGAAGCAAATGGCAATGTATTATTCATATTTCTTACTTATTCCCCCCCCCCCCCTGTAATCTCAAATATTTTTCATCATCTTAAAATAGATGTGTGAATACGATTTTTCCTTGAATAATAAATGCATAAATACTGGAGATAAACCTGCAAACTTGCACCATATAGGTCTTTAGATTCCTATATCCATAGAGAAGTCTGTAGATGAAGAAGTCTCCTAGGACGTTTTATGCCGATGAAAAAAAAATCGTATTCAACTCATAAGTGATCTGATCTTGGCACACAATGTCTGTGATGATTTCTTTGCTTCTTTGGGCTTTAATACAGTTTGAAAACTTTGCATTTCACCCTGCAGTTTTAAAGGACGTTTGAGCCTGTAGCTAGACCCTCAGATGGTATTGTTTTGCTTTGTCATTGAAGGGTGAAGTTTGCGGGTAGCCATAATGGATTGGCAAAAGAGTGACATTTCTATATCAGATATTAAAGTCCCAAAACCAAAGAGCTTTAACTGAGATGAACCTGCCTCATCCAACCTTTAAACTGGGCCTCAAAAGCTTTGGTCTGAAAAGCCTTACCCATATTTAATATCAGATTCAAGAACATAATAGGCTGCTCAGCCATAATGCTATAATTCATGCAAGTAAGATAGAATAATAGAATCATAGAGTTGGAAGAGACCTCATGGACCATCCAACCCCCCAAGAAGCAGGAAAATAGCATTCAAAGCACCCCTGACAGATGGCTATCCAGCCTAGAATCATAGAGTTGGAAGAGACCTCATGGGCCATCCAGTCCAACTCACTGCCAAGAAGCAGGAATACTGTATTCAAAGCACCCCTGACAGATGGCCATCCAGCCTCTGTTTAAAAGCTTCCAAAGAAGGAGCCTCCACCACACTCTGCAGAGAGTTCCACTGCTGAACAGCTCTCACAGTCAGGAAGTTCTTCCTAATGTTCAGGTGGAATCTCCTTTCTTGTAGTTTGAAGCCATTGCTCCGTGTCTTAGTCTCCAGGGCAGCAGAAAACAAGCTTGCTCCCTCCTCCCTATGACTTCCTCTCACGTATTTATACATGGCTATCATGTCTCCTCTCAGCCTTCTCTTCTTCAGGCTAAACATGCCCAGCTCTTTAAGCCGCTCCTCATAGGGCTTGTTCTCCAGACCTTTGATCATTTTAGTCACCCTCCTCTGGACACATTCCAGCTTGTCAACATCTCTCCCTTCAATTGTGATGCCCAGAATTGGACACAATATTCCAGGTGTAATGATTCCCTTATTTTTTATGATACATTAGGCCTTTGGTTTCTGCTGGAGTTGGGTTCGGGTCGTCTGTTCCTCGGGAGATACCAAAATCAGTGGCTGCTCAAGTCCCATTATATACAACAGCATAGTAGAATGGTACTCTTTATATAAAATGGTAAAATTGAGGTCTGCTTTTTATAAAAAAACTAGCTGTCCCCTGCCACGCATTGCTGTGGCCCAGTCTGGTGAGCTGGAAAATAAAGTAATGAGAAAGTGTTAGCTTCTAATATATGCAATGTTTTTATGCTTGTGGGTAAACAGTATTTCTTCTTGTTTCTTTGTCAGTGTTGATGTGGAAAGTGTCTGGTTTGCCTACTCTGGAACAGGCAACATATCGTTGTCCTTCTTTAGGGGTCCTTTTCAAATCTTTGATACTGCATCTGTCATATACATATATGTGTGTGTGTGAATGGCTGGATGGCCCTTTGTCAGGAGGGCTTTGATTATGTTTTCTTGCCCTGGTGAAGGGAGTTGGACTGGATGGCCTTAAGGCAGCATTTCTGAACCTGGAAAGTCAAGACCTGGGGGGGTCACCAGGGGAGTGTCAGAAGGGTCACCAAAGACCACCGGAAAACACAGTATTTTCTGTTGGTCATGGGGGTTCTGTGACCTTGAGTTTGTTAGTTGTAGTTCACCTACATTCAGAGAGCACTGTGGACTCAAACAATGATGGGTCTTGGCACGAATATTCGATATGCCCAATTATGATCACAGATGGAGTTTGGGCAAAATAGACCTTGACATTTGGGAGTTGTAGTTACTGGGATTTATAGTTCACCTACAATCAAAAAGCATTCTGAACCCCACCAACGACAGAAATGGGCAAACTTCCCACACAGAACCCCCATACTTAAGGCCATCCAGTCCAACTCCCTTCACCAGGGCAAGAAAACGTAATCAAAGCCCTCATGACAAAGAGCCATCCAGCCATAGATATAGATAGATAGATATGATACACACACAGAGAGATATATATATAGTATCATAGATTTGAACAGGACCTCTAAAGGACAATTATATGTTGCATGTTCCAGAGTAGGCAAACCACATGAACAGTGACAAAGAAACAGCAAGAAATGCTGTTTACCCACAAGCATAAAGAAATTACATATATTAGAAACCAACACTTTCTCACTACTTTATTTCCCAGATCAACACACGGCCACAGCAATGAGTGGCAGGGGACAGCTAGTGTTACATAAATTCCTATCTATATAAATAAAAATGTAATGTTCATTTGTGGGATTAACAGAACTCACAAACCGCCTGACAAATTGACACCAAATTTGGCCACAAGACACCTACTAACCCAAGGTGTGACCATCACTCAAAAAATTGATTTTGTCATTTGGGAGTTGTAGTTGCTGGGATTTATAGTTCACCTACGATTAAATTGCATTCTGAACTCCATTGATGATGGAATTGGACCAAACGTGGCACCTATGACCAACAGAAAACATTAGAAGGGTTTGGTGGACATTGACCTTGAGTTTGAGAGTTGTAGCTCACCTAAAATCCAGAGAGCACTGTGGACTCAAACAATGGAACATGGAATAATGGACAAAGAGATCGGATTACGATTTTGCTGATGAGATGTGATGGATTAGTTATATGGATGTATTGATGTTATATTGATGTATTGTTATATTGATGTAGTTGCCCTGATTACTGTTTTAATGCTAATGTTGTCCACTTTGTATACTGACTTGGCTGTAAACCACTCTGAGTCGCCTACGGGCTGAGACAGAGCGGTATACAAATAAAGTAAATAAATAAATAATGATGGATCTGGACCAAACTTGGCACAAATATTCCATATGCCCAAATATCTACACAGGTGGAGCTTGGGGGAAATAGACTTTGACATTTAGGAGTTGTAGTTACTGGGATTTATAGTTCACCTACAATCAAAGAGCATTAACTCCACCAACGACGGAATTGGGGCAAACTTTCCACACAGAACCCCCATGACCAACAGAAAATACTTAAGGCCATCCAGTCCAACTCCCTTCACCAGGGCAAGAAAACGTAATCAAAGCCCTCCTGACAAAGAGCCATCCAGCCATAGATATAGATAGATATGATTCACACCCACATGCACACACACAGTATCATAGATGTGAAAGGGACCCCTAAACAAGGAGAATTATATGTTGCATGTTCCAGAGTAGGCCAACGAGACAATCTCTACATCAACACAAGCATAAAGAAATTGCATATATGAGAAACCAACACTTTCTCTTTACTTTATTTTCCAGATCACCAGACTGGGCCAAAGCAACGCGTGGCAGGGGATGGCTAGTGTTACATAAAATTCCTATGTTACATCAATGAAATTCCTATGTTACTCCTTCCCTATATGAAAGGAGTCCTTCCATTTGAAGGAAGCAACATCTGCATTCAAAACCAGGTGGTAAAGGAAGCCACTCTGTTCTTTTCTGAGAGCCCATTCTGTGCTAAAAGGAGGAGGAGCTTTTGGAACACTGGCTCACTCTGTGTGTTCCACAGCAAACGCAAGCTCATAATGGGTTGCCGAGGGCGCCAGGCACAGCAAAGATGTAACACGAGCCTGAGGAGAGCAGGGTGGAAGTGGTGGGGCAGTGCTGACCATGGCCAATGGGTACCAACTTTGGGCACCCTGGTCACCACTGGATGAGTCCCTGCAATGGCTGCGGGGTGCTGTGCCCAGACCCTCCAGCACTAAACACCCTTTCCGAGGAGGGCCCAGCCCCGCAACTACTACTGACCTGGAGGAGCAGCTTTGTTTCCAGGGGCTCAACCTGGTGCTGGAGCCCAGTGCAAAGTCCGGAGGGAGGGCACTGCCAGCCCTTGGAGTAGCGGCGGAGACCAAGGGGTGCAGTGGGGCTCTTCACAAACCCCAGGCTGTGAGGCTGACAGGGCTCGACTCTGTCTTTGGCCACCTTGTGACAGCACAGCCTCCCCACTGGACTGGCTCATTGAGGGTGTCTGAGCGCTCCGCCTTTTGCCAAGTCATCAGCCCCCAGCAGCGCAGGCCCCATGGTCTCCGAGAACCACAAGTACGCATGGCCATGGCCATGTGCCGCCAGATGCTGCGTGCCATTCTTCTGCTTTACGCCGCCTACAAGAAGTGTGCCTTTGCCCTGCAGCATTCCCGGTAAAAGTATCTTGTCTGGGAAAAGGTGGGTCAAACTGGGACGCTTTCCAACCAAAGAGATAGCACTTGCACCCATTCTCCTTCAGAGACATCCACTCATTGATCCATCACATGTCAGTCTACTTCCTGAAATAATCATCTCTTCTTTACCATCACCAAGCTAAACATCATCCGTGAAGATCAAACATTTATTTATCAGCATCCGGAGAGTGGCACGTCGCTTCAGCTTATATGCAGAGAGAAAAAAATCATTTTTTTCCGACTTTATCATGTAAAGAAGGACTTGCAGATGGGTATTTTACAGATGCTGATTCAGAAATGGGAGAAACAGAATAACAGAGACAGTTAAAATCGAGCCTAATTTCTGACCACATAGACCAAATGAAACAAATTTACACACATCTTCATTGAAAGACAATCTTCAAAGACAAAAACACTTGCGGAGGGGTGAAAACATAATTTTTCCTCCAAAGCTGCCTATCTGATCATTTCAACATGGAGAGTAAGAGTAACTGTAATACTAGATGAGATCTATATTCTGAGTGGCACTATTTTAAAATTGCTGAAGGACTGTACATTTTGGACATGTGCAAACTGAATTCTAGTTCTAAGACTGGGACCAAAACCAAATGTAAATTAAACTAATCATTCTTTAAACCAACGACGAATAAATGACTGCACACCAAAATTCAACCAGCATGTAGTTTTGAAGATTGTGAAATGGCTCAAGTTTCAGATAACTTGAATGAAATATCATTTGCTTCTAATGACTGGCAGGTAAGGCCAAATCTCTGCATTTGAAATGCTGAACAGAAAGCATTTTTTTCTGAATAGAAAGCATTTATGGCTTCTACAAATCATTATTTGTTTACTGCAATGGATGGCCTCTTAAGCAATGTGATTATATGATGTGCAGATTCAAAGAAATTAATACCAGCTTTCTTATGGAAAAACCCTGAAAACAGAAGATTTCAAGTCCCACAATTTCCTTATTGATGCCAGATAACTATCAAAAATTTGAGAAATGGAAGGTTAAAGATCTCTGTAGTTTTCCGATGTATCAAAAGTGCAAGAATACAAGATCCGAAGCCCCACAATCTCAAATTCTGTATAGATTCCGATAACTATCAACAAGTTTGGAAATGCAATATTTAGAGCCACATAACGTCCAGATTCCTTATTCAAACATTGTGCTAATCTGAGTACTGATGTCTAAACCGGATGACACAGCTCTAACATCACAAGAAATATCTTGGAAATCGTTTTCTTTTTTTGGTGTGTGTGTGGATATTTTGAAATGGATCTACAGAAATACAGCTAGATGGCAACTCAAAATAGAATGAACGTTATTGCTTAATTATTAATTCCTACTTTTGCCTATTTTGATTTTAAAGATCCTGGCTTTACCACTGGCAAGTATGGAGGATGGGCTGAACCAATTTAGTCACCCTTCAACGCTTGGATGGGAATTGTTTGGCCATCCTAATATTGCTCCAAATTCCAAGAATTTGGAGAGCCACGTAATCCCTATTCTGCTTTATCACCATTGTAATCACAACTACCTGACACATCCAATTGGTTCAATAGCGGTGAAGAAACTTACTGAGTTCGTATCCAACTCTGTACAAACAAATTATGAGTCCATTCTATCACGCATTTTCCATTTTCTGTTATTGCTTAAAGAATGGGATCCCATCTATTTTCTAAAGTCAAACGGATGAAATGATCCATAATGAGAAGCAATAATAATAATCTAAATTTGCTTCTTTGTTTCTTCCTTGGCTTTATGTTTTTTTAAAAAATCATTTTCCATATGCTCACACGGAGATCTGTCTTTTTGCAAGAAGCATCTTAAATTCAACTAACCTCCGAAGGAAATGGACAGATTTTTTTTTACCATCCGAAAGAATTATGTATAAGTGTGTTTTCAATATAGCTGTAGAGACTATTTCTGTTCTATAATATAACAAAATTGTTTCTCGGTTATATTTTGGTTGAGTGACGAGGAACTTTCCGGGTCACTGATGACACCTAAAAGGACCATCTCGCTGAAAAATAGCTATCCAAAATTGACGGCATAAGAGACCACCAGCCAGATTAATATGAATGATTCTTTCACTTCTAATATGAATGATTCTTTAATTTCTAAACAGTAGCACGGCATATAAATTAGTTTTGGGGATGTCGTTGGACTGCAATTCCCATCTGCTTTAGCTCATAAAACCTATGGTGAGTAATAGTAAGATTTGCAGTCTCCATGTTCCCCGACAATGAAAAAAAGCAGCATGCCACAAGCATAGCTTGCAATAGAAACACTGGGTGGCTTTGGAAATTAAAGGCATTTATTTGCAATTCATATTAAGTATATCTCTGTGCCATTTATTCATCTTAATATTTGAAGATAAAACAAAAAAAAGGAAAGAAGGGCATGAGAACAAGGCATTTGGCATGTAGCATTTTAAACAGTTTGGAAACGGAAATCAGTGGGCCATCACTCATTGGAGCAAAAACAATCCATTCTTCGTTTGGAAAAGGGAAACAATTAATTGCATTCCTAATACCAAAAGATGGATTCCACTGCAATAAATAGGCACTCTCGCTGCTTATTATAACTAACTTTCATTGAACATCGATTTATAAGGTTGAAGAGGGAAATTTCTATTAGTGGAGTGGAGAGGAAGAACACAACAATAAAAGGACTTCAAATACAATTTGATAGGATTGGTAATGATCACCAAATATACCAGATGACATTCATATCTACCTGACTGCGATTCTCAATATGAACACAGGCTGCTAACACTCAGTTTGTATCTTTGAATGGTGTGTGTTTCCAAAGTTTGGATTTCCCAAGAAAGAAATTAAAATTGAATTAGAAAGAACTGAAGACAAAGGCCAGTCGCAACATTTAGGAAGATAAATGACTCCAATTTTTTGAATGGATTGCATTGTATAAAAATTCAGATCTTCAAACAAGACTCTTTACATATAAAGTGGGAAAAGTGGAGAGAAGAAATCTGCAGAGCCAGCCCTAAGTCAAGAAAGCTATTCCAGGCCTAAAATATCGCTGGCAGAAAAGAAGCATATAATTGTGCTCTATCCGTGTTTGGATTGTGCCGCACAGTTTGAGCAAATAATGTTTTTGTTTTTTTAAAAAAATGAAGAAGAAGAAAAACCTCATGTTTTTAGCTAAATGGATGAGATGGGGAAGTAGATTTTCACCATGGCATTTAAAATAAGAATTTGACATGACTAGTTTACAACTGAAGTATGGAGCTTAGAAATAACTCTCAACAGCATTTGAAGGGAAGCTTTTTTTTGATGGGTTTGCTTTCCATTACAGGAACTAACATTTTAAAAGTGTTCCTTTACCATGTGACATCAAAGGAAATCATACGGGTTTGGATCTTATTGACATGATGCTGTTTGTTTATGAGGAATGTCATACTTGGGGGGAAAAAAATAAAAACCACCCTTATGGTCACGTGTTGTCTGAAATGTTTTCCCGTCTATAAAAGGTAAAGGTAAAGGTTTTCCCCTGACATTAAGTCCAGTCGTGTCTGACTCAAGAGGGTGGTGCTCATCTCCATTTCTAAGCCAAAGAGCCAGTGTTGTCCATAGACACCTCCTAGGTCATGTAGCCGGCATGGTTGCATGGAGCCCTGTTACCTCGCCGGTGAATCTACTAGATCTGAGTAGATCTATTGATCTACTCACATTTGCATGTTTTTGAACTGCTAGGCTTATTTATTTATTATGTCAAGAGCAAACCAAACAGTTGTATTGCATTTTTTAACAAACAAACAAACCAAAACAAAGTTTGCAAGCTTGGTAGTTGATTAAATGTCCTTTGATCAGGTCCTCCATTGTGCATGTAGCAGGGCTCAGGTTGCATTGCAGCAGGTGGTCTGTAGTTTGCTCTTCTCCACACTCGCATGTCATGGATTCCACTTTGTAGCCCAATTTCTTAAGGTTGGCTCTGCATCTCGTGGTGCCAGAGCGCAGTCTGTTCAGCGCCTTCCAAGCCGCCCAGTTTTCTGTGTGCCCAGGGGAGAGAGTCTCATTTGGTATCAGCCATTAATTGAGGTTCTGGGTTGGAGCCTGCCACTTTTGGACTCTCGCTTGCTGAGGTGTTCCAATGAGTGTCTCTAGATCTTAGAAAACTATTTTTGATTTAAGTCATTGATGTGCTGGGGATGAGCTGGAGATGTCACTGCCTTGGTCCTTTCACTATTGGTTGCTACTTCCAACTGCTAGGTTGACAGGAGCTGGAGCTAACAGCAGGAGCTCACCCCACTCCCTGGATTCGGACCTGCGACCTTTCGGTCAGTAAGTTCAGCAGCTCAGCACTTTAACTCACTGTGCCACCGAGGGCTCGCACCTCTGTCCTCTGTTAATTATTACTCTTTCCTGGTATGACTGGCTGTGCATGACATGTGAAGCAATAGTGATTTGTGTGACCAGTGCCATGTTTTCCTTGGAAAGAACATTGTTCATGGGAAAATTCATGACATCCATAACCACTGAACAGAGAGGGTAAGTGATAAGTGAGCACATCCACATGTGCAGTATTGTCTTATATGAAACAGATAGATGATTATGTATCGAAGATGTCTAATAGACTACAAATTCAGCTTTTATGTAGGGATCTCAAAAGTTGGGCTGTTAAACGGGGCAACTGCTATTTAGAAGGTATTAGTCACATTTAAAAGACTTGTAGTCTTTTTAAAATGTGACTAATACCCTCTAGATAGCAATTTCCCCATTTAATATTACAACTTCTAAATTGCCAAGTTAGCTGTACAGCAGGACCTCGTTGTCGAAAACACACACAGTTCTTTCTATATTTTTCAAAGATTATGCCTCTCTGGTCATCTTTTGTTCAAGGCTGGATCCATACCAGCAAAATAATTCAGTTTCAGTGTGTAGCATCCTGCCCTGGTTTAACTCCTGTTTCCGTTACATGGGCACCTTAAAATTCTTAATTTTTGTATTTGCTATGTT